ATATATATCCCCAGCATTCATCCGATGACCAATATGCGTGGCCGTCCCGACCACCGTGGATTACCGCATGCCCCAACATGAACAGCCCGCTCAGTTGCACAACCTCCACAACATTCGCGCATGAGCACCACAGTGCCCAGCTCCTACAGCAGCCATAAGCGAGCAGGACAGAGGATGCAAGCGCCACGTAGGTGGCGCACGCAGCCCGACGACAACGACAATGCATGCGGGTCACACAACTACCAACGTCAACATTAGGCAATCCGATGTAATGGAGCTAGCGAATCGATAAGGACGTACATGGAGGGAGCGAAGTCAAGAAGACGCATCTCATAATCGTTCGTCCAGCACCCTAGGTTGTGCACTTATCCTAAAGTGAGCAAATTAATTATTTAAAGGGTAAGTTCCTAATGGTAGCTATAGATTCTACTGCGCTAGGATTTAATTTTATTAGATTTGGGTTTGCACATCGGTCGACGTTCCTAATATAACCTAACAACTAGTATCAGAGCTCAGGCTACTTCGATCTTTGTGTAAATTAGGACTTATGTGAACATATGTGAATTAATTATGTATGAGCACAACACATAATAGATTAAAATTGAAAATAACTTGTTTTTGTAGAATTCTCGAATCCGACTATTATGGCCCCTATGTATGTGTTTCAATTCATGTAGGTTTGTGTTTTGTAAGCCTCGAACATGTCAGAGATTTTTGAGTTTTGGAATATTTGTGTTGTAGCAACTTATTTTTATTTTACCGAGCACCAAATCGAATGATTCGTTTCTCGGGTCGATCTCTCAAGGAAGGCGGTTCGGAATTAGAAGTGGTATTGATAACACATAAAAGAAAAATAAATCCTACACATTCTAATCACGATAGGGTTGAAAAATTATCAACTAATAAATAACAAAAGACGATAATCTACCTAAAAATATAAACGATAAAAAGATAAACGGGCTAGGGTATCGGGAATAATCGCTTTCGATTCTGTACACATTTAACGCCAATCAATAACTTGGTTAAATGGTTCGACTAATTAACTCATTTAGCGGTTTAACCTCACTAACTCTCGTAATATGAGGATGAACATAAAGAGCAAATTAACGAAACAATTAACACATAGACAATATGTCTCCGAACATGTCTACTCTAAACGAGTCAAATTCCACCAATTTCTCCCCTCTCGGATTTGATATTGATTATCTCTAGGACTCCTCCCCTTTCGGTTCTACAAGTCGCAATTTGATTAGAAGGTATTTAATCAACTAATCATGTAGAACTAATCCAACTCTAACTTAACAAATCAATATTTAATCACAAATCACAGTGTCACTCTTTGATTATATCAACAAATTAACCTAAGTGTCACTCTTAGGTTATATCAAATTATCAAGCATGATTTTACCAATTCCTCATTAAAATAACTCATCAAGATTGAGCTATCCTCATGCACATAAACGAGAACGAACCGGAATGATTATCCCCTAACCCTAGCTAGAGGATTAGCTACTCATAATTGATTCAACACAAGCATTCATATCATACCAAGCCATCATCATCATCATAAACATAATGAGAAGGAGAACTTACTAATAATATGCAATCCAATGTCAAATGCAAGTACAAGCCAAATCCAAATTGCCACAAGTCTCCAAAGTATTCCTTATTATAATATGAAAAACCAAAAGAAAAACATAAGAGAGAAATATGAAGAAGAAGGTGGTGAAAGGAGATGGTGAAGAATAAAGATGAAGAGGTGAAGAGGGGGAAGAATCCCCCCTTGATTCAAGGATGGTTTAATGGTGAATTATGAGTGGGAAGTCTTCTTGAGCACTAAAAATCGAAATCAAGGGTGAAATGTTGGTCCAAACATCCCCACTTTCGAGCACTATCAAAACAGGCCAAAAATTGAGGAAAAGAAGAAATTGTTGTCTGCCAAGGGGGGTTAGCGCCACTAAGAAAAAACTAGACTGCACGACTTTGCTTTTCGGGCTCGTTTGGGCTCATCCGAACTCGGAATTGATTTCCGTTTTTTCCTACGCGTCGCTAACGAACCCCTCTATTCAATGATGCTTTTAAATTCAACTTGCCCAGAATACAATCCTCTAGGGTCTTCCAACCTTCAAGGGGTCGGTAGTTTGCTGGACTTTACGTGTTGGCCCCGTTCGGATTCTTCCGAACTCGAAATTGGATTCCGCTTTTTCTTATGTGTAGCTAAGAAACCTATCTATCCAACATGATTTTTTGATCGTTTTAAAGCTAAATCGATTCCTCACGGGGCTTCCGACCTGCACACTAAAAACAAGAAGAAAAACGTAGAAAAACGACAAAATACACGAAAAACACATAAAAAGCTAAAATAGAACAAAACACACAATAAACTATAAAACGATGAAAAAGACCTAAAACAGGGGAAAGAGAAAGACAAAACAGTAACGAAAACGTAACAAAAATGGTCACAACAATTTGTAATAATTTAAACGCGGGGTGGGACACCGCATAATTTACTTTTTTTATTAGACCATTCTCCTACGATCCCTGTGTGGGTCATATTTGTATTATGTTTTTAAATGGACCACATGGACGCGAAAAAGTCCAGACGACCAAAACGACGGTCGGGGTTACCCCGACGCGGTGAGCCGGTGCACAATGATGTCTTGCGTATGTGGAGTAGCCCGCTTACAGCTTACTCCAGCTACGGCATGCGGTGGGACGCAGTGAAGCCTGGCCGAGAAGCGGGTCTATGAGGATGACAGGGCGTGACGACTTGCGAGTGTGGGAAGTGATGGACGTGCGAGATTCATGCAGAAGCCCACGAGGCCAACACGCAGCAACCCTAGTGCCAAGCAGACTGCGTGCCCCCGGGCGATGTCGCAACACGTGCTTAGGCTGTGCTCACCTCATTTCAAGCAGCAGACGGGCACTATGCGTACGTAGCACGGGCGCGAAGGAGTCGAGCGACGGGCATGGCAACTCACGACTAGTGCGTGCACACTTGCATCTTTGATGACGATCCCGCGGAACACACCCGAGCATAGAGGCCTGACGACTGCAACGTTGTGACCAGTGCGATTGGCATGATAAGAATCTGCTTGACAAAAAATGAGAGCATCATCTGCAAAAAACAAGTGAGAGATGGTAGGAGAATTTCTACTGATTTTGAGTCCTTTGAAGGACTTGTTAGCACAAGCTTGATGGATGAGGTTAGACAGGACTTTAGACAGTATAATGAACAAATAAGGGGAGATAGGACACCCCTGTCTAATCCCTCTTGAAGGAACCACATGTCCCAAAGCTTGGCCACTAAGGTTGAAAGAAAAAAGAAGAAAAGTTAATGCAAGCCCAAATCCAAGACAAAAATAATTCACATAAGCCCATTCTTCTACAAACCCTAATGAGAAAACTCCACTCCACTCTGTCATAGGCTTTTTCCATGTCAAGCTTAAGAGCCAAGACCGAAGTTTTGCCTTTTTTTCAACTGTTATAAAATAGACACTCATTGGCAATTATAACATTGTCTAGTATCTGTCTTCCAGGCACAAAGCTGCCTGGGACTAAGAGATGCACCCAGACAGAACCACTTTAATCCTAGTAGCCAATTTTTTTGCTAAGGCCCTATAAACAATACACAAACTGATGGGCCTAAAATGGCCTACTGATTTTGGGTTTTTAGTTTTAAGAATAAGACTCACCACAGTATTATTAGAGGCTTTTAGAATACAAGTAGAGTTCAAAAAGTTTTAAACAACAAGAAGCAAATCATTTTTTATAGCATCCCAGTTATATTGAAAGAAGAGAGGGAAGAACCCATCAATACCTGGAGCCTTACCTGGATCCATAGCCCACACTGCTTGTTTGATTTCCTCCCAGACACTGCTTGGTGAGATCTTTGTTCATTTTAACATATATTGAAAGAGGTATACCATCAAGCATTTTCTCCTCAAAAGTTGGCTCCTCAGACTTGAACTTTTCGAAAAACCCCACTTCTTCTAAGGACTCCTCTCTAGTTTTACACTGCCCCTCATCTGCCTAACCAAGAAGTCCAGGCAATTTCTTTCTCTTATCTGTTTCACACAAGCTTGAAAAAAGCTTGTGTTTTTTTTTTCTCCATCCTTAAGCCACCTCACCCCGAGTTTCTGTTTCCAGTAAGATTCCTCTTGTCTATGGGCTTCACGCACAACAACTTTACAATCAACCCAAGCATCCCAATCTCTTTCACCCCCTTGCTGGCCTAGTGTTTCTAGCTTGGCATTGCAAATTTTGATTAAACTCTTAGAATTTGTGGTCTGCCTAGCTATCCACCTCAACAGACTGAATTTGACATTTCTTAACTTCTTTTGAAATCTGTACAGACTAGGTCCTTGGACTCTAGTGTCCTAAGAATTTTTTTATACACTCTTGATAACCTTCTAGGGAAACCCATCTATTGTCAAACATGAATATGCACCTCTACTTTCATTTCACCTCCACATTTAATTTGACATTTCTTAACTTCTTTTGAAATCTGTATAGACTAGGTCCTTGCACTCTAGTTTCCTAAGAATTTTTTATACACTCATGATAACCTTGTAGAGAAACCCATCTATTGTCAAACATAAATCTGCACCTCTACCTTCCTTTCACCTCCACATTTTTTATAATTAACATATTATGATCTAAAGACACCAAAGGAAAGTTTAAAACATGAGCCTCTGGGAATTTGAGCAACCAGTAAGGGAAAACACAAATCCTATCCAATCCTTCCTCCACAAAGGCTACAGAAGACCTAAGATTGGACCAAGCAAACAAATAACCCTTAAGAGGACATCCCACCACCCCAAGATTCTACAAGAACATATTAAAACTCCTGAAACTAGACTCACCTCTCACCAGTCCCTCTCTCTTCTACTCAGAATTTCTAATACCATTAAAATCCCCCCAATGAACCACAAGTCCCCCCACCTTAACCTATGTCCATTGAGCAGCTCCCACTAAACCTGTCTCTCAACAGGGTTGACACGGGCATAAACAAAAACAAACCCATAACACTTCACGAACCCCTTTTAAACAGAACTTAACTTCTAGACTAAAAACATTGTCAATTATCTCTACCACAAACACATTGTCAGACCAACCCAGCAAAAGACCACCCTTTGACCCTAAAGTATCATCACAAAACCACCTGGACACCAAATGTAAAGACTTACAAACAGAAGTAATAAAAGCTTTTTTCTTTTTAGTTTGAGAAAGAAAGAGAAAATCTGGGAGGTAGGATTTGCACTTTTCCTTCAACTGGGAAATTTTAGAAAGTCCTCCCAAACCTCTACAATTCCACACCAAAACATTTATCTTAAACTTTGGGACCAGTTATGGTTGGTTTCCTCGACAATTTTCTCAGACACAGACTATTTCTTTTTTAATTTTTTAACATCAGATTCTAGGAAAAATTCCTCAACCAAAACAAGTTTAAATTCTTTTCTTTTCAAAGAAAGGTGATCACTGTTGATATGGAATATCATACCTGACCAGTTTGACCCGAGAAAATCGGAGGATAAGAAGGACTCCTAGGGTAACTTGGGCAGTAAGTAACCCACTCCTATAAATAGGAGTGGGATAGCATCATTTTCTCTCTCACACATTCACCACTATACCTGCATATTATACCTTATCTAAGGCGAATGCTGACTTAGGCATCAGAGGCTCGACGATGGGATCCCCCCCGACGTTGAGTTCTTGTATGTACGGAGGCCGTTCGAGTTGAAAGAGTCGGGATGAAATCTATTTCACTAACATTGGCACCGCCCGTGGGACCCATCAACAAAGCCAAAAAATCAGCCACGACAAACAGAGTTCCGACCTAAAAATTCCAAAAAATTTCTAGCAAAGCTCCTTCACCTCCACTGGCCGCCGACTAAAGTGCTCCAATTGGAAAATTTAATGTGAAGATTCCTCCGGGAAGGAATTTACTTTTGCTGGTCAAACATTTCAGATCTAGTGAATTTTGGTCAACTTCTGGCATTCAAATACATTTTCTCGGCGATCCGTGATGGCTATCAAAAATCCGAGGACACTCTCTCGCTGAGGCTAGTCTACAGTAGACTAAAAACATTGTCAATTATCTCTACCACAAACACATTGTCAGACCAACCCAGCAAAAGACCACCCTTTGACCCTAAAGTATCATCATAAAACCACCTGGACACCAAATGTAAAGACTTACAAACAGAAGTAATAAAAACTTTTTTCTTTTTAGTTTGAGAAAGAAAGAGAAAATCTGGGAGGTATGATTTGCACTTTTCCTTCAACTGGGAAATTTTAGAAAGTCCTCCCAAACCTCTACAATTCCACACCAAAACATTTATTTTAAACTTTGGGACCAGTTATGGTTAGTTTCCTCCACAATTTTCTCAGACACAGACTATTTCTTTTTTAATTTTTTAACATCCGATTCTAGGAAAAATTCCTCAACCAAAACAAGTTCAAATTCTTTTCTTTTCAAAGAAAGGTGATCACTGTTGATATGGAATATCATACCTGACCAGTTTGACCCGAGAAAATCGGAGGATAAGAAGGACTCCTAGGGTAACTTGGGCAGTAAGTAACCCACTCCTATAAATAGGAGTGGGATAGCTTCATTTACTCTCTCTCACATTCACCACTATACCTGCATATTATACCTTATCTAAGGCAAATGCTGACTTAGGCATCAGAGGCTCGACGACGGGATTCCCCCCGGCGTTGAGTTCTTGTATGTACGGAGGCCGTTCGAGTTGAAGGAGTCGGGATGAAATCTATTTCACTAACATTGGCCCCGCCTGTGGGACCCATCAACAAAGCCAAAAAATAAGCCACGACAAACAGAGTTCCGACCTAAAAATTCCAAAAAATTTCTAGCAAAGCTCCTTCACCTCCACTGGCCGCCGACTAAAGTGCTCCAATTGGAAAATTTAATGTGAAGATTCCTCCGGGAAGGAATTTACTTTTGCTGGTCAAACATTTCAGATCTAGTGAATTTTGGTCAACTTCTGGCATTCAAATACATTTTCTCGGCGATCCGTGATGGCTATCAAAAATCCGAGGACACTCTCTCGCTGAGGCTAGTCTACAGTAGACTAAAAACATTGTCAATTATCTCTACCACAAACACATTGTCAGACCAAACCAGCAAAAGACCACCCTTTGACCCTAAAGTATCATCATAAAACCACCTGGACACCAAATGTAAAGACTTACAAACAGAAGTAATAAAAACTTTTTTCTTTTTAGTTTGAGAAAGAAAGAGAAAATCTGGGAGGTAGGATTTGCACTTTTCCTTCAACTGGGAAATTTTAGAAAGTCCTCCCAAACCTCTACAATTCCACACCAAAACATTTATTTTAAACTTTGGGACCAGTTATGGTTAGTTTCCTCCACAATTTTCTCAGACACAGACTATTTCTTTTTTAATTTTTTAACATCCGATTCTAGGAAAAATTCCTCAACCAAAACAAGTTCAAATTCTTTTCTTCTCAAAGAAAGGTGATCACTGTTGATATGGAATATCATACCTGACCAGTTTGACCCGAGAAAATCGGAGGATAAGAAGGACTCCTAGGGTAACTTGGGCAGTAAGTAACCCACTCCTATAAATAGGAGTGGGATAGCTTCATTTACTCTCTCTCACATTCACCACTATACCTGCATATTGTACCTTATCTAAGGCAAATGCTGACTTAGGCATCAGAGGCTCGACGACGGGATTCCCCTCGGCGTTGAGTTCTTGTATGTACGGAGGCCGTTCGAGTTGAAGGAGCCGGGGTGAAATCTATTTCACTAACATTGGCACCGTCCATGGGACCCATCAACAAAGCAAAAAACAGCCACGACAAACAGAGTTCCGACCTAAAAATTCCAAAAAATTTCTAGCAAAGCTCCTTCACCTCCATTGGCCGCCGACCAAAGTGCTCCAATTGGAAAATTTTTTGCGTGCTGGGTAGATCTCTTCGAAGTGATCTACCCTTAAAATTTCATGTGAAGATTCCTCCGGGAAGGCATTTACTTTTGCTGGTCAAACATTCTAGATCTAGTGAATTTTGGTCAACTTCTGGCATTCAAATACATTTTCTCGGCGATCCGTGATGGCTATAAAGAATCCGAGGACACTCTCTCGCTGAGGCCAGTCTACAGTAAGCCACCGTCACCGACCACCGCTGCCGGCCGAAGTTCTCTGATCGAAAAAATATATACAGCATCGCGAAGCTCTTCTCGTGCTCGTTCTCCACCTAAAATTTCAAGCGAAAATTCCATCGGAAAGGCCGTCAATTTTGCTGGTCAAAGTTTTTTTTTTATCTAAGAATTTTTTTGTCAACACCGGCCTTCTCCTCCAATTTTCCAGCGATTTCTGGCGTCCAACACGAAGAGGTAGCCCAGGTATTTGCGGCCCAGTGCACGGCCTGGCAAGAGGCCCATCAGCCCAGCGGCCCATCTTCCATGCGCTCCAACGCACGAGTCGTGCCCAACCCGCGCGGCCTGCGTCCTTCACAGCTCTCGGCCCGCGAGAGCCCGCTCTTGGCCCACCTCGTCCACAGCGCCCAACCCGCTTTTGGCCCGAGAGTGGCCCGCATCCGGCCCACCTCCTACTGCCCCTCAGGCGTCTGTCTCTATGACTTCACTTCGCTTCGCTTCGCTTTAAAATATGGTCGACAAAGTTGAGGCTTTGTTTTTTCTCTAATGGGGAGAAGAGATGGGAATGAAAGAATTTTTGTCTCGACTTCCACCGTTCCAGGGTCACGTCCTTGCAGAGTGACGCGGCCCAGATCGCCCATGGCAGCCCAGAAGCTGCCAACTTCCTCCAACGCGACCTAGTGAGCAAAAACAACCCCGGTTTGAGCCCAAGGCGAGTCCAGGATGATACAACGCAGACGGTAAGGTAATTTAAGATAACATTCTCATGATGACAGTATAGCGTTATTTTAAATTCTGGACCGAAGGATTTTAAAGTGGTAAAAATTAGAAAATTATTTGATTTATCCGTTGCACTTAGAGAGGCGAAAAATATTTTACAAAGCATTAATCGAGCAAGTTTGATTGAGAATAAATGTAGATTGTAGTTTCAAATTGAGGATATTTCGTGATTGTGCTTACCGTGTATTTTTCATTATTTTTAGTGGTGAGCTCGAAGAGGTTGATTGAATTTTTTTAATGAGATTGGTGTTGGGACCAACTCATTTGGATTTTCGTTGGGTGAGCAAGTGGTTTGAATTTAGGTGTTTTGCAAGTAATCGGACAGTGAGATTTAATTTGATTTTTGTGATCTTGGTGTATGATCAAAATTTGTGTATTGGGTTAATGGTTGTTCGTATCTGCAAAATTTGTTTTGTTGTAATTTTTTGATAAATTCATGATTCTGTGAAATTCTGGTCGAATGTACCTTTGAGTGGGTGATTTAATTTGATTTTGGTGATC